CTATCAGGAATCTCTGATCATACAAGGTGAGGGAGAAGATGCAATAAAATAGGAACTATGAAGTCCTGGGGCAGTAAGTACCAGAGAAGGGGAGGGGATTTTGTGCTAAGAGTCTTCCCTCCTGCTTCTTTTCCACAGGCTCCCGGCCAGAGGATTCCCCTCCCTGCCCCATACATGGATTAACCCTTTAGCTCTGTTTGTTGGAGAAAGCCTTCAGACACAAGACAATGCTGCCCCCAGACAGTGATGATAAAAGCTTGAGTGTGCCACCTCCACAGCACTCCTGCCCTGAAAAGGAGTAAGGTTTCAAAGCCTGGCTTTGTTGCTTTTCTACAGCATTCTTCCTTTTAAGCACAAGACTTGGCAGCAGAGAGCAGGGGCTGCTCAGAGGCATCACCCTTGGATGGACCCAGGACAGCCCTAGGCACATGATGCCACACGCAGGCCAAAGCCACCCTGACCACAGGAGCACCCGGGCGGCTGCACGACGCTCCTGCTGACCACAGGGCAGGGGCCACGGGATCCTGCCGCAGGCCAGTGCGGATGGGGTGGGGGGGGGCAAGGACTGCAAAATGGGGCTGTGCAGCGAGCACCTGGCCCGGGGCCCGGCTGTGGGTGGACAACCAAGGAAGCGCAGAAAACGTGGGGGCGAGAGCTGCTCCGGCAGCCCCCAGCCGCCTCCCCTGACAGACAGAATCGTAGGAAGCGAGGCTGGAGGGACCTTGGGAGGGCGCCTCGCCCGCCCTCCCCGCTCAAAGCAGCGGCGCTTCAAGCCTGGAGACCCCACCGCCTCCCCTGCTTCGCTGCCCTCCCGGGGAGTCAACTCCTCCTCACACCCGGCCTCGTCTCCCCGCTGCAGCTGGACCGGCGGCTCTCCGCATCCCCCTGGTGCTGCTGCTGCTGCTTCCCGGGGAAGGCCCCGCAGGGCCGGGCAGCGCCAGTCTTAGCCCCAACCCCAACCCCAGCCGCCCAGGAAGCGAGGCGCGCCTCCCCGCGGGGACACGGGGGGACCTCGCCCGCGTCCTGACCCGACCCGACCCCGGGCTCGCCCGCCCCGGCTCGGCCCGGCCCCCGCGCAGGCCGCCCGCTATCTCCGCGCCTCCTCGTC